CCGCCTTTCCTCCGAAGGATAGTTTTTCTGATCTTATTTTTCCCTTGACTACAGTTTCTCAGCCAAGTACAGACAGTACTGTCTCAGCATTACCAAATTGCTTTGTCCAAATTACTTTGTACTCCTTTTGGCTGTCTGTAAATCAAGAATTAATATACATTTCCTCCAGGGTTAATTTTACAGGTTTTACTGTTAAAACTTTAGAACCTAAAGGGGAAAGCTGTTTTTTTAAGAGATGCTGTGACACATTGATTCTGACAGGCACCTCTATTCTTCTGGCACCAGTACTTCTGAGGTCCAAGATGGTCTTTCTGATACAGAAGGCTACTGACTTTCTTTTCTCTGGTTTCATGGATAGAGTTTATTCCATGTATTTGACAATTTATTTGCAATTCTTGAATTTTGTTCTGAGTAATATTTCCAGTGTTCTTACTCATATTTTTATATTTTATTTATAGGATTATTTTAGTAGAAAACTTTAACTTGATTTTCATAAATATGTTTTTGCCCTGAATCAGTTTGAAATACTTGCCCTTGTGAATGGATTTCAGGGACATTAGTTGGTTGTTCTTTTAGCATGTAGGACAAGCTTCTTTAAGTTAACTACATCTACTCTATTTTATTCTCCCTGTATCATACTCCTGTTTTACCCCTTCTCCCCTGCTTTCCCTGCAATGTTTGCCAGCTTGCTTTACATCAAGGAGTTGTTCCAATGAAGCGCCTTTTTTTAGTTTGCAGCTACCTAAAGCAGATTCTTGCATGTCTGTCTTTTTGCATGCCCACCTCAGCATGTAGTTGTGCATGCTGCATACTGCTGAATTATGAGTGATAAGCATCTCTTGGGTATTTGGTCGCAACGTGGCACCCTTTTTTCCCACAAGCATGCTGTATATTTTGTATATTTTTGTATACTGTCAGATTTTGTTTTCATTTTAGTCACTTGGAAGTTTATGTGCCTAGTTTTACTGTGTTCTAGTTTGGTTAAAGAACTTGTATTTCACAGTACACTGGACTCACTACTGGATGATCTTTACAGTTACCTAACTGACACATTTACAGCTGCCTAATTCACACCAAAGACAACGGGAGCACAGATGTGACACTTTCGTCAATTTAGCCTATCTAAAATCTTTGAGCTGAAGCACCCAATTATGCTATGGAGCTTATACCGCTACATGACTGTTTCCAATAATAGCTAGACTGCAAAGGAACCTGGCCACACCATTCCCTTTCATCAAGTTACCCTCATATATTTATTGTGTATTTCCGTGCCAGGGTCTAAAAGCCAAAGACATAGACGATTTTGCTAATCTTATACTGTTGAAAAAATATTTGTCTTGGAGAAATTCATCAGAATTTCTGGCACGTTTACATGGCAGGAGTGTATCCTATAGGATACACTGTCATCTCACCTTTCATTAAAAAATCATCGAAGCCTCACCCTTTGCATATATGCTCATGAAAAAAGAAAAAAAAAAAAAGGCAAATGCTGGTGAGAGTCCATAAAGAA